ATCTTCTAACGGTCCATTGCTATGATAAAGCTATTAAAGACAAAAAAATTGAAAGAAATATGGAAGAAGTACGATTAGTTGGAATTAAAGAAAATATGCTTCATTTGTTAGATGATTATATCAACGCATTAAAAATAATTCTCTCAATAAATAGAGATATCAATTGTGTGAATAATTAAGTAATGCCAGTCGTCGCAGACTGGCCCGAACAACTTTTCATACAAAGGCATTAACTCATCTACACAATCAAAATACAGATATACCAGCAGCTATTAATTTCTTTGTACCCATATTAGGCCTACTCCATGTCTCATTAAATAGTCGAGAACAAGTTGTAATAACCTATTACTCTTTTTTTAAAAAACTTCTCCACTCGGTTTTCGAGAAACAAAAGAATCTTGCAGGTTCAATGGAACAAAAAATTCTGCAGGGTCTATGGAACAAAATAATCTTGCGAAAAAACCAAAGCCGTGGAGGATAAACCTTCTACTTGAACTCCCCTATCAAGGATGGTTAAAAATAAAAGTAAAAATATTAGAAAAATTTGGACCTATGTGTAAAGACATCGAGTATAGAATGTTAGTTGATCTTCTCGACAATATTATTCCAGCCACTTTAGATATATATGCAGTCATTTTTTGCTCAGGTTCTTTTGATGAATATATTAAAACTATTTTTTGAATATGGACTTTCGTATTATATTGAAATCGTAAAAATTATAACATGGCATTCTTGTCGGATATTTTTTATTGGAAACCCCAAAAACATCCAATGTTGGATGTTGTTAAAATGTTTCTTGTAATTTTCAACGATTAGTTTGTTGAAAACTTTCATAGCCGAATATGAGCAAATTCATCAGCTAATGATAGCGCTGAGAATATTATCCAACAGGCATGTGTTCTAGATAAATTAACAAAAAATAAGAATTGCTTCGTTTAAATAATGCAGTAACTTTACTAATAACAAATAAATATTCAAAAAAAAAAAATAGATATAAATAAACACTCGCTATTTAAAGAAACATTTGATACAAAAAAAAGATACCCGTATACTTCTTCTACTCTAGAATACCTGACTAATAAAACATCTCTATTTTTGTTAGATTATTTTCGTCAAACCTTTCAACATCTTAATGCAGTCTCTAGTATAACAAATAATAACAATAAAAACAAAAAAGAAAAAAAACAAGACCTTTAAAATATAAACTTGCTGTTTTAGGTGAAGATGTTGATATAATGTGCTTGCCTACAGGCTATAGTACCGGAGCACCTCCTTTACCAGAACTTTGTAATGATTGTTATAAAACTTTGAGCAAGAATAGAGGTGGAACCGTGTTGATCTGTGGACATGGTTTTCATTGGCATTGCTATGGCAAAATGAAATATAGTTGTCAACACTGTAAAGAATACTACAAAAGTAGAATATATAAAAATGTTAATTCATTTTTAGAGTGTCTTGAAAAAGTAGCTAACAATCTTACTGATGATGACAGATATGAAAAAGAGTCCCAAGATTCAGAAGATATGGAAGAATATGAAAACATACAAAAAAATGAGATAGTAATAGATTTACAAAGCACATTAAATAATATAGATAGATGGTAATAACTAAAAATGTATAATTTCGAATGTTTTACCTAAATCATTATTGTAAACCATTAAATAGAAATATATTCGCTTTTTGATATAATCACATTCGCTTTTTACATATAACAAAATTAGTTGATCTAACCTGAATTAAAAGTCTTGAAAAAGCATAAAAATGTGATAGTAAAAAAAAATTTTTAATTATGCAAACAACCAGATTTGCTACTAAATTTGAATAACTAATAAAAGTTTTATACTTTCCCAATTTTTGCATATAAGTGAACTACCTTTTGCAATTTGATCCAAGAGATCCAAAAGTTTTAAACGATGCTTTGAAGCTTGAAGAACGTATTAGTAAAAAAAAAACTTTTAACTCTGCAAGTAACCAGATTTGCTAATTAGTAAACTTGAAATAACTAATACTTTTCCTAATTTTTGCGTATAAGTGAACTACCTTTTCCAAATCGATCCAAATCAATCCAAAAATTTTAAACGACGTCTTGGAACTTAAAGAATGTATAGTAAAAAAATTATCCCTGGTAATGCGAAAATTGAGGTATTGTAATACTAACTAAAAAAAGATGTTTTGTATAACAAATACTATAAGCCACGATAAATCAACCAATCATAATCAATTTGATGATCGGGATCGACAACCAATCAAAATGAATTTCCATCATGCTCTTCTGTGCTTTAACAAAAAATTTCCTTGAGAGACTTTACATATATTTCACTAAACTCTAACCCTAATATAAACCTTAATCCGATCATAAATAAACTTTAAAGAATCTTTCGACCTGAACATTTTTCGCCATTGCTAGGGTACTACCTGATACACATTTTCCGACTGCGAAATGTAAAAATCGTAGCGAAAGAATTTGGTTTCATAGTCATGTGCAAGGTTTGTAATTATTTGATATGAGGCGTGACAAATAATGTGATTTATTATTACATAATAAAAACAAATCCCCTGTGTTGTACGGTTTTTGTGTATATAGAAGTGTAATCTGATTGGTTGTTTTTGAATATATTTACATTAATATATCTTCTATTTATTATGGCTTTGATTTGACGTGCAAGGTAAGAAATTATCTATTTTTTTTTTACAATAAATTCCATTAATTAACCAATTGTACAAACTTATTTACTATAGACCTCATTGGGGAAAAGAATGGAAATTTATTCCAAATGTGAAATCTTATCTTTCTGATGTTTTACCAGAGCAAATTAAACAATTCGAGAAAGTACATGCAAAGTACGACCCTAGTAAAATTTTTTTTGATAATAAGTCTTTGCAAGATATATTTAGTTGTGCTTTATCTTTATAAAATAAAAGCTCAATGAGAAATTAAAATTAATGATGAGACTAAGATTAGCTTTTAGCCTAACGGTATTACCCTTATAAAAAATATTCAGACATTGTTATTTATAAATTTTTCATATGACTATCTGATTTATTTTTTAAGTTTGTAATCAGAAAAATTTCAGGCTTCTTAAAAAATAATTAAATTATAATTGTATCTTACTTCAAAATATGTTCATTTTCTAGAATATTTATTAACATTAATATTTCAAAAACATTTTGGATATATACCTAAAAATTATAACAATAAGGTAGCTGTGCAACATTGTCGCACTAAAACCAAGGACGTAAGATAACGATTAGTATATTATAAAACTTTATGATTAAATATAGAATCGAATCAATCTAGAAATACAAAGAATTTTTTACGCTTAATAATTATTGGCATTTCGTGCCAAATGACAATTAACTATGAGCAGAAGAGCATTATTACATTATAATTTCAATTTGACTTGAATTTTAAACACAATAGTGTAGAAAAATTTTAATCACTACTAAATTAACTGAATCTGTATAAGAGATAAAAGTAAATGTTAATGTGCTTATCTACGTTTTTGATTTAGTTAAATTTGATCAATTAAGCTTTTTTGAATTCTGTGAATCCCATGATTATAACATATTAAATTCATTATACAGTCAGTTCTCTCTAAGTGTAGTTCGTTGGGACCTGACTTTTGCATTTAGAGAATATTTATAAAAAATTTATAATGATTAAACATATACTTGAGTTAGAATTTAAAATTGCATTTAGAAAGAATTGATTGTATCTATTAATAATCCTAGACTTATTATATAATTTATAATTTTTAAACCAAAACTTTAATTTATAATTTGCAGATCCAAAAAATATCACAAAATAAAACAAAATTTAATATGCATTAAACCTGAATTTTCAACTATTAAAGAATTTATGCCTATCTAAAATTAAACAATCAACAATGGAGGTTTATTTAATATAGCGGATAAAGCAGTCCGAATGCTAATTGTTCATAATGGATAAGAAATGATGGGTTGTATTTGTTGTTGTTTATAAATTGTATATAATTGGGTAGTTGCATTTTTTTGCTAATCTATCACTAAGTTATTAAAAGTATTATCGCTATGTGCTGTGACCTTTTCTAGTTGAATATTAAGCTCGTAGGCTTTGATAAAATTGAGTAGATTATGTTATATTGGCCAATAGTTGTAGGTGCATCTTTCATTTGGTGTTGGTTTTTTGACATTTTTTATCATTCAAGCTTCTAAGAATTTGATTTTTCAAAAATGCCACCTTTTGCTTATCACAACACTAAACAGATTTACATATATTTTTTTATATATAAACAATAAAATTTGCATTTATAAGGGTTTAATATATATTTAAGCTGGAGTTAATAATTGCATTTATGTAATTTAATAAGTTGCATTTAAAAAGATATTACATTTAAAAAATTTATTGAATAAAACTAAGATCAATTCTTAACAAACTATAAAATAGTAGTTTTTATAATAACAAAATAATATTAATTTTTTTATATCTCAATTCATTTCTTTTGTTCATTATTCTTGTTTTGCATTTTTATTAGTAAATGGCAATCCGGAAGCTTTAATTTAGAAAATAAGATATGGTACTTGTTAATTGGATATAATATGAGAGATTAAAGAATATGATAAACAATAGATAATATTTACCAACTCTTAAAGCACCAATCATACTACTCCAATCATAATCATTTCCACCTGATACATTATCTTTTACATAATTCAAATTTTTACACACTAAATCTGCTAGTGGTAGATGCGCACCTGAATCTTTTGCTATTTGCTGAATATGTCTATCATGTTTATAAATAAATAAGATAGATATAAGTCGTATATAAATCAAAAAAGTTATTAGATAAACATAATTATAAATAAGAAATTCAATAGAAAATATTACCCAAGATCTTTTAATGCGTTAGTAACAGAGAAACCAATATCTGTATCAAAATTTTCTTCTATCATTTTTGTTCCTATAAATATTAAGAAAATAGTTTTATAAAATTCTTTTCAGACATTGAAGAATTAATAATTTAATTACCATAGCGCATATAAACATTCGGTGAATACACGGAGGAAAGAAATTCCATGAGCATTTCTTTTTCAACACCAGATTTTTCTGCGAAAGTAATTCCTTCTGATAATAATTCACAAGTACCAGCAATGAAGAAATTTCCAATTAGTTTAAATTTTGCTGCCTTCTTTACATCATCACCTGTAAAATAATTTAAAAATATATTATATAGAATAAGAATCGGAAAGCGCATCATTATATATAGGCAAAGTATCTTTGAATTTTCAAACCAGCGGACAAAGCTCTCTTTCCTAACACAGGTACTAATAATGGTAGTATGTAATCAATTGCTTCTTGGTTGCCAGAAGTGATAACTGACAGTTGTGCGCTCTAAGAAAAAGATGTTAAATAAATAAAATAATTTAAATTCTAATGTAATATTTATTTTATATTTTATGCACCTTTGCAGCTGGAGGAGGACCCCAAACAGGGCAATACAATAAAGTTCTATTTGCATTCTCGATCTTTTCTCTGAGAGCACTAATTGTAGTTGGATAAATAGTGCTTGTTTCAATAAATATTATTTTTCTCTTATTATTGTCATCAATAAGATCTAATTCCTCCAATATTTTATCGTAAGTCTGATTAACGGCGTCATCATTAGCAAGTGAAGTAAAAATTATATTAGCATATTCAATGACTTGTTTCAAACTCGTAGCTGCGATAGCTCCAATTTCCTTTACAGATTGAGTTTTGGAAAATGTACGGTTGTAAACAATCAATGGGGGGAGATTATTTGTTGAAATATAGTTTTGAAGGTTTATTGCCATTGGAAGTCTATTTTAATAAATTTTAACAGTAGAAGATAAAATAAATAATTAACTTGCACCGTAAAACAATTAAAAAAATATTTACCCCATGGCGCCTAATCCAATAAACGCATATTGATCAGAATTTGAAGACATATTTTGTTCTAGAGTTCTTGTTCTGAAAATATGAAATATTTCAAAAAAAAAATCGCAAGCGCTAAATGGTTTTTAAAATAAAATTGTTATCTAGATTACTAAAGTTTATCATATAGTGTATAATTATACCAAATTAGGTAATGAGCGTCCGCATAATCTTGAATAATGCATGTGGCGAAACAAATCTTAACGTTAAGGATTTACGAACGCACAAACCAAAAAAAGAAATTAATTCTGCGAATAAACTACAGTAGATGCGTAAAGATAGAAGTTTAGAGTTAGAATATTAGCATTTGAGGCTATAATGATAAACTTCACTTATAATATGCAAAATTTCGTTCCCGACATTTTTAATTAGTGCACTAAAGTCGATTTAAACATGTGTTTTCGTGTATTTTCTTTTTTTAGTCTTTCTCACGTGTTGTAATTCGATCATCGCACATTTAAAGTTTTGTATTCTCACATTCATGTGGCACAAGTGATCACAGGTACTCAACAGGGATAGTCTTGGCAATTTCTTCTAATATGTAGAAGTCAGAGATCAAATTATTTAAGGTAGTATAACCATTCGAGTTTAACTCCGATGGTTGACGTAAGAAAAGATGCGGGAACTTGTTGAAAAATGAAGGAGCTTGTATTTCAAAGTTATTAGGCACTTATCATTGAAAAGAATGTATATGTATATATTCTTTATTTAGAGACGGCTTCAGTGAGCATACATTAGATGGTGAACTAAGGGCGTTTTATACATTCTCATTTCCCATGATTGTTATAATAGATACACTACTAATTCTGATTCACACATAGGGATGGCCACGGTCGGTCATTTTCGGCTAGCCGTTTTGTAGCCGTTAGCTGGATCACGAGTTAACTACGGCTAGCCGCGGCATAGCCGGTCGGTTAAGCCGAAAATGACCCATCCCTATTCACACACGTATACGTCTAAATGTCATTATATGACCTGAATGGTGGTACTGGTAATAAATGTAATTCATGTACGTTGTAAAAGAAAAAATTGTATTTGTCGACGCCGCAGTTCTAAGTAACACAAGTTCTAGAAACCATGGAATCACGAAAATCACAAGGATTTGGCCGTTCGAAGTTGATTCTTCGGTTAACATCACTTTCTAGGACTCCCGGGAGGGGGGGGGGAGGGGGTAAAATGGAACGAACATATAAAAATGAA